GAATATATATATATATATTTATTTATTTTAATATATATTATTATATATTTATATTAATCCAATACATATGTATGGTAAAAATACATAATTGTAGTCTTTTGGAAGCTTTTCTTAAATATCTGCATCAGTATATGGGGTATGTCAACTTTGTTACAGGGTGATGGCCGCTGCGGCTGTGCTTTTCACAACTTTGCGATTTAAAGTTCTAAGTGGCAACTGTTGTGGGTAGGAGTGTTGCTTACTGTCAGGCAGGCGCACGACTTCTTTGTCCCCTCACTTGATATATCATATAAGAAAAATGTAATTAAGCACACAACTGTACTGAAAAACACAATATATAATCACTTTTAGTTTTCAATATACAAAAAATGATCACGCATGAGTGAAAAAGTAAAAAGTGCCCATCATGACGACATTGACCAGAAATGGCTAAAGTGAAAGCATTGACAGTTTTTTCTTCACGCATCACCGATTCCGTACATTATAATTTTTTTGTATGGATCGTTATTTCAGCTAATATTGGTTCTGCAGCCGAAACCGGCACTAATCAATTGTAAATTACAATTTCGATGTTCAAATTACGTAGACAGCGGAAAATAATAAAAATCTAGTTTCCGCCCAATAAGATACACAAATTAGGTTTAAAATCTATAAAATTATGGACCAATCGAGTAGTTTAACTGCTGTGGAAAAATGTTAATTCTAGACATGGCAGTTCTTATAAAGAAAATATTAGTGCCACAAAATAGAAATGTTTATCACACTCTCTTTCATTATTAACAGCTGTAGTGGCACAAGAAATAGAGTATCTGAAGAATATGTTCAACAATCGGTAAACAGACGTTCTACCTGATTATGTTGGTGTTAATATGACCGCAGATATTCGAAATAAACATTTTTTAAGGAAAATATTTCGTACATATCAGAATACTTAATAACGTATAAAATTGTGTCCACTATTCAAATAACTTTCACATCTAGAAATTATTTCACTACAAATAAAACAACTATCTAACAAAACTAATATCAAAAATAATTTAAAAACATAAATATCAAAACTAGACCGCTGCTATTTTCTCAGTGTACATCGAAAGTGTTCACTTATTAACAAAAATATGGTTTGCATAACAAAAATACTGATTGCACATCAATTATTTAAATTAACTCAAAACGAAATAACAATCTTTTAACAAAATTACCGTAATTTTTCTCAAAAGTTGCTCCACAAATTATATTCGCTTATACAAAGAATCACGTACATGAAATATATTTATGATATAACGAATAACACATATTGCTTAACATTATTTCTACAATGTCATCTGATTTACTGAAAATAATGGGGACTTTTATCTCTTTCGCAGACAACCTTGAGTCCGGTACAATATGCCCGAGTAAAGAACAAGCGAGAACGCTAAGCTGCGCAAATGTAACTGTCCTCATTTTTTCAAAAACTATAAATGTAATCATGTTGTAGGCTCGCGATCCGGCTCAAGTATGTGGTACCACCAGTGAGGCCAAAATGTTCTAATTGGACAGAAAAAGGAAGCGTGGACGTCCTACGAAAGCAATACTAATAATTCAATAAAAGTTATTTTCAATTTATTTTAACTGGTACATTTGCTTTTTTTATTTTAAGTTTTGGAGCTGATTTTTTAGCCGACTTTGAAAAAGTAAGATGTTCTCAATTCGACTGTATATGTATATTATTTTCTTGTATGTAGGTATGTTACGCGATAACTGTGACCCGATTTTGATGATTCTCTTTTGTTGAAAAGAAGGTACCTCAGTAGAGGTCCCCTTTAGATTTGATTTGAAACTAGGCAACTAGAGGCAAACCAGGTTTAGCACACTTTCCGGTAATCGATTTCAATAAAACTTGGCAACTAGATGGAATTTCACGAACTTTTGAGGTAATTTTTTTAGTACTCTGTACTGAGATTATCTTGAAAGCAATTCGTAATATTATATGAACCTTTACTTGCAAATACAAAAGAATTGACTGCGATTTTCAAGCAATTACACTTTGTTGCAATGTTTGTTTGCAATTTTAATTTTTTTTGTCGGTCTTATTGTTTTGGATAAATTGTATTATTAGACCATTATGTCAAATAAAATGTTGTTTCATTCCGATAGACCGATGTACCTTTTAGTGAAATAGGTATGTTTTTTCCCATAAATTTGTGGTCATACGTTTGTTGTTTATGCCAGAAATCTAATACTTGTATTTAGATGTTAGACATGCAGAGCGATAAAATGTTATGCATTAATTTTAGCTCATAATGCTAAATTCATTTTCTTTTCATATGCATATTTTTATGTGCAATCAGTACTTTTGTTAGCCAAGTTGCATATTTGGTTGTAAAAAACTTGCTTTTTTAGTGAGCGGTTAAATACTACCCTTTTTTTAATTATATACCTACTAGTGAATATCTCACACCCTTTGCTGCAACCCAGAACACTACTAGTGCTTTGCGGAATGAATAGGTAGTTTGTAGAATACTTACGGCTTTAGAATAGCCGCTGCCAGCGCTGCCATCAGAAGAGTTGCTCAACCGCCTCTCGCTGTTGGAGGCTGGCGGCGACCACGCTGACCCGCTGTCGGACGGCATTATCACACACCAATAACAACTGTTCACATCATATCGTTCTGCACAACACTTTAGTTTGGCGCACTATTCCAAATTGCGGTCCATTTCACGCATATCTTTTACCTGAAAGAGAAAATAATTTAAATTAGCATTTGTTTAAATGTCGAATTATGATGATCAAGTCACATATTTTGCATAAAATGCAGTACAATTAAAGTTATTTAAGTAAATTAATTACTAAACCATTATGTAACTGAATTTACGTTTACTATTATAACAATACTCGATTCGTATTGTTATTACTTTGTTGAGGGTACAATAGGCGACTGCAGCAAAAAATGCTATAAAAGTTGACTCAGGTAAACACTCTTACATTCAAACAAAATAGTCTACAGTATCGAAACTATTATAGTTTTAAATCGATCAGTTTAGAGCGCTGAGAGTAAGCTAAGTTGTTTAGTTATAACCCTTCAAACATGTCCAAATTACGGATCACTAAACTGTTCGAGCCTGCAACTGTAGAGACTGCTCTTGTAATAAACAGCTGCAGAATGGTGATTGCCATTCTCCAAAAAGAATTTACAGAGGCAATGACACAACACAGATAAATTGCTTAAGAGCGACAGACTTCAAAATTCGTAACACATTCGCTTTAGCAATGTTCTAGCAAAATTCAATGAAAACACAAAAAAGTTAAAAATCACGTTGCTTATGTAATGTTCACATTAACACAATGCTACAACAATGAGAATGCTTTAATTACCCGTTTAGCGGAATTCCACGGCCGAAGGATATGTAACAATAGCACAGGAACAATAAAGTTTACAATCGTGCGGGTATTTGTGAACGAATAGCCGTTATTGTTATATTTACGTTCCACGCGTGACACGTCCGTATCGTCTGTCGTCGCGGTCGACACTGCGAGTCGAGCGCGCGCGCTGTTAGCTAAACCCCAAATGACAACTTTGATAACATTTTCTTAATAGATAACATGTTATTATTAGATATCGAACAACTTATTTGTACCTACAACAAAATATCAAAAACAAGACCGAAGCTAACATTCAATGTACACTTGTCTCATCCAAAAGTTTGGAGTTTCTAGAACGACTAACCGATCGAATTTTTAAAAGTAGAACGTACTGGACCGATTAAACATTTGACAGGACACCCGTAATTCTAACTTTTATGACGTACAATATAGGGTCTAGTTTTTAAAAGCTATTTATTACTACGTGGTGCATCATCCATTCAAGTAACATTGTGAACCCTAGTACGCAATGTGACACAAGCTGGCACGAGCAATCCATTGCAGTTGGCGATTAGAGAAATTGTGGTATTGTGTTTTTGCGCAGATGCTCACGATTTCGATAGGGTAAAATTGTTTTAAAAAACATCATTTGATAAAAACCCAATCGTATGCGCAATAAGGCTCAACTCACACTAGCGCAGAGTCGAAGCGTCGCGTCGCGTCGTTTTCAACTACAAAAATGCGAACAAAGGCGGCGAAAGCACGCGTCGACGAGAGTTGTCGCGCGATTCCGTATTTGCATAACACATATTTGTACCTTAATAATAGGAAAATAGAGATGAATATGCTAAAGGCGAAAAACACGACGCGTCGCGACGCTTCGACTCTGCGCTAGTATGAGTTGTTTCGAGCATAAGTACATACATAACGTCTAATTTCTGGTTTAGCGCAATCAGACTTTTGAGAGTATAATTCCAAATTTCTTTCTTTACTTTGCAGAAGTTGTTTGTAATCCCGTTTAACGTGTGTTATTTGACTTCTCTAGCCACGAGACACTTTCTATTTTACAACACGACGCGTGAGCAGTTAACGGCGAAATTGTTCCACCGTATATTCAAGTTAATGTCAAAGGGCCTCTCAGGTCATTGTTTGTAAGGACCCTGACAATAAGGGCTTGCAAGAGAAAGCGCTTGCAACGTCCTTATGTGACGATTTATTCAATCAGAGCATTACGACCGATTCAATATGAAACTTCTGGAGTGTTAACAGTTTACAACTTTTTTATCACATGGTCCGTATGATCTTAAAAGGAAGCATTTTTACACACTCACATGCCGACAGAAATGACAAACAGGGATTCCGCAACAAAATATCAATATTTATTATCCGTGTGTCAAATTAAGAGACTTGACATTTAAAGAGAATCTCAGATATGTACCAGGAAGGCCCGAGGTCGGTCAGTAACATGTCTACCTCTACATCCAGTTATGCGTATGTGGGATTTGTGTTCTTTGATCTGATAGTGTTTGGTATACATGATTTACTCGGATGTTTTCAAAATTACATTGTATTCTATAGCTTAAGATGATACGTCAGCGTTGTTATAATACAAAAGTCGTTGTAATACAATGAAAACTCAGAATGTGCAAATTATTATAATACAAAGTGCAATATATTCGAGCTTTTAACAGCACTTAGTTAGTAGAGACATCTGATTATTTTATTAGATTACAGGGTACATGGACAACGAAAGTATTTACATTAATTTGTATTATTGCCCAAAAACAATCCAAGACGAATTTTAGATGAAGCTGAATTCAGAACTGTGTGCTATTTATTCCTAACCATACCATATACGAATTTTTAATCGACTCTGGGTTTTGAGTAATATATTTTACATGCTTAAAAAACTCTTTTACTTGCTGTATTTACTGCTTCAGCCCCTGATTTTTTCAACGCGCTTAATGATTCATGGAAAGTCTGAATAAACCCAGATTTATTTGACGGGATGACTCAAAATTGTGAGCGTTACTGCTTTATCTTATATATCTTTCATCTGGCAAGATCATTATCTTGTTAGCATCATGAATCAAAATGCCTTGCGCGGGAGTGAGAAGGCATCATGAATCAAAATAGCTGTATCTGCGGCGAACGCAAAAACGGTAGCGTAACGGGACGCGCACGCGCGCCGCATGCCGATCCGGCTCGTGGATGACCACTGGTTATTGTCGTTTGCTGACCAACTTTTTACAAAATATACCTCAGCTCTAAATAAAAACGGCTAATAAGATTTTTCTCCCTTAATTCAGTTTGTAATTTATACTTGCCTTTTTTGCTACGCACGAACGAAGATCGCTCGTTGTCCAAAAAAGACAAGGATCTTCTCCACCGACCAACCTAGAATTTGCTTTGGCAAACTCGAAAAGGACATACACGATATTAACATCGAATGGTTCTGTTCTAAAGTGTTACGTGCTAGAAAAGCAGAAATTGATGCTATAAATATTATGATCACGTTCGAGAATGACCGTCCAACGGTGTAAGGAGTAAGTAGCAGACTAATAATTCAACTTAGTAACATAACGCCGGAATGAGCATTCAAATGTTTCCATTAAATACAAAACGAGAAATGCATTAAGAATATGTAATAACGCGAGTTGGATAGAATAGAGTCATTTATTTCATATCATTAGTGTTACAATAAATTGTAACAATTTAAAATACAATGTCAAGGGATAATGTGATATTGCCATTTGATAGCACAATCAATATTTTGCCTATCTACTAATAAAACCTGCCACCTTGAGGTACACTCGTACGTAGCTGTGTTGCAACGGATCGCAATTTCAGACCGTGAGATCCTAAACATTAATTGGGTTGCGTTGAAACTAAAACTAATTGCAAAATCAAAAGCAGAAATTGTGTAAAATAAAAGAATTCTGCTAGCAAGAACAAATTCCATTGAGGAGCGAAGTTGATATATAGTGTTAAGCAAACCTTTACGTACCTAATTGACCACGGTACTTAGAAAAGGAAAATATATGGTTGCACTGCGTCGAGAGAGAAAATGTTAAATAAATATTATTTGTAACAAGGGAACGGTAGCCGACTCATATATCGTATGTAAGTAGCATGAAGCTTAATTACTCAATTATAGAAAATAATAGTTTTGATAGCTGGAAATTCAAGAAAAGTTATCTTTAAATGATTAATAATCAATTCCATAAATAACAAAAAATTATAATACAACGAAATTTGACATTTTTTTTTAAACTTGGATTATTACAACCAATCCGCGCCATAAATGCTATGTCGATGCAAGCAGATACAACGTCAAAACCTGCACTGTAACATATTTGAAACGTTAAAGAAACCAAATAAAGTAACTGTCTACATCTACATTCCACCCATACCGAAGCTTACGAAACTTGCTTATTGATGGTATATTTTCTGCTCCTTTAACGGCCGCAGTACATGTTGTACTCAGGTAACTGATGGCGGACATATACCAATGATGAAACTAGAGCCTGCACTCTAGATTTCTACGTAAATGTAATTCTTGATGTAAGTTTGTACAAGTACTTACATCACATGTATCTCTGTTGGTCCTTTTCAAGTACGTAAACGAAGAAATCGTAACGTGATTCATCATCAAAGATAACAAAATGGCCAACATTAAAAAAAATACAGGTCAAGACGGTATTTATAAAGACGATTTGAAATCAAAATAAGTGATGATACTAAAAGAAGCTATAAGAAAATCTGATGGAAATGAATCTAGAGAAACCAAAATGGTTGGCAGGTACAGACATCGGATTGAGTTTAGTTACGCGTAACCCATCATTTGGATTCAACCCGAGACCAGAAAAAACACTTTTGCAAAAAAGAACACAACACATACTACTCGCCCCAAACAACCTTTGGAATTCCATTAGACATGCCAAACAAATGTTATCCTAAAATCCACGGTTTAAAGTTCATATTATTGTAAAAAATCATTAAGAGTTCTGTCGTTAAGGACATGGTAAGGAAGAAAGGTGGTACAAAAAGAAAATAATAAAATTGTAAAGCGGTACACAGGCGGCCTTGGGTTTTACTGTAGGCCACATGCCGGCTGTTGCTCCTACAGGCGGAGGTATGTGTGCAGCCGGTTCTGTTTTTGTGGGTCCGCTAAGTGTTTTGATGGATCGATTTCGGGGCCCTTGTTCTGGAGAGGTCGGTGGACGACGTCTCTAGTAATTTGAAAGGCTTTATATTACGTGTGTAAAACTCGGTAATATGTATATTGAATTGCATACAACTTTGGTTGAAGCTTATTTTAATAAAGATAAACGATGTAACATGTAAATGTTGATTCGTCACTTTTTAAATT